CCTGTGAGAGCCGCGGCTCCCGGCGGCGCTCCCGCTGGGGCAGGGCGAAGTGTGAATCCGTGGGGAGGAGCGGGCAGTGCTGCTCTGCCGAGGCTGCGGGACCGGGCGTGCTGCGCTGCAGCCTTTGTGTGTTACTGTCCTGCGGTTATCGCACTGGGAATGTCCAGAGCCACTGCAGATAACAGCGGTGATAATGTGGAAGGGGCTCTAAGCCTCACATCCCAGGGTTTCAAGAGATAAGATGGTCCTTTCCATGCACGTGATGACCTAATCAGCCTAGTGTAAATTGCACACTTACAGTCAGGAGCCTAGTTTCCCCTTAATGCTGAAGTACTAATGGCCATAAGAGGCAAGACATTCGGGCTTGTGTGATGTTACAGCTTCTGTGTGATGATGAGCCTCTGTTAAAGCAGCTTGATGCTGTGTTTCTCCATTTCTTTACCAAAAAAATATGCTTATATTCAGTCATCACATTACCATTTAATCAGTCAAGTTTTATGCTTCAGCAATTTAAAAATATTTAAATTATGCCACTGCCTGAAGTAATGCTTTTATTAGTTACATCTGCAATGTACTGTGAAAATCTTAAAAATAGCCAATGAATGTTTAAAAACCCAAGATTTTTTAAAATTAATATTTTGCTTCATTTTTGAGTAATATTTTATGTTGTTACGTACAGATTGAGAGCTGTTTCAGTACTGCAAGTGCTGGTCGACAATTTCAGAATTGGACGGTGAAAGCTGAACAAGCCAAGAAGGCTGAATTTATAAGAACATCAGAAAAACTAAAAACCCAGTAAGTTGGAACACTTCCATGTGTTTGTTTCTCATACTGTTCTAGAGATAACACAAGGTCAAAGGAAACGGTTGATGGTGATGAAATGTTTAAACTATGTTAAATGTTCTGTCACCCAGATGGATTACTGTGATCATTATACTAGTTCAGAATGGGCTTGCAAGTTTCAGAACAGTCTGTTCAAACCATGAACATCTGCAGCTGGTCAGTGTTGCTCTTTATTCTACTGTTGCTCAAGTACATTCACAAAAGTGAAGGTTCTTACATCCTAACTGAGTTTTCAGTGTTCCCATTCAGCTGTGCTTAACTTCTCTAAGTATCTTAAGGGCTTAAGACTTATATCAACAGAGATTGCAGTTGCGTCACAGTAACTTTTCCAGAGACAACTGGGAGCATTTCACCTATAATATAGAGGTTAACGTGAGTTCAAGTCAGCTCAGGCACAGAAATGGTTTGAATATGTTTCCCCACATCTTGAATGAGTGCTGTAATAACAGAGATATTGGTTCAAAGGACAGAGGAGTTGCTTCACACACGGATGAGAAAGAGATGACAGCCCCCAGGCTCAAGGGAAGGTTTGTAGTTATGAATCCTGGATGAACTGGCACATGTAACTCTCCCAGCATCATTTTAGATGTCTGACTCAATCAGCTCCTACTTAGTTATTGTGGAGCCTGGATTATGGCTCAAGTGCGGCTGCTGGGTCATTTAGAGAATCCTAAGTAGCTTTAATTGGGGCAGTCTGGATACAGGTAGCAGTTTAAGCCCAACAGCTTGTCCTTCTATTGTTGTGTCCTCTTAAGGCTTATTGCGTATGGGTGAGGAGATTCCTTACTCCGTTCTGGACAGGGAATTCCACGGATAACAACACATTTAAACTTTGAAGGCATCTCTGCGTCATGTAATTGTTTGAACAGTAAAGTAGTGGTTGTCTGCTGTAGAACCAGGCTATTGCTGTGAAGGGTTTCTTAGGTGGTCAGCAATGCTGCTTAACACTGGAAATCGTGCCTGATTTCCCTGTACCATGAGGCACCAGTATCGTACTGCCGTGATCTCTAACAGGATAGCCCTGGATTATACGCATATGCTCAAACCCCTGTTCCACTTGCTTTTCTGTAGGCTAACTCCTAACAACTCGCCTTGTGCAAGGTAAAGGAGATTATATCCCAAGACAGATTTTAAAGCTTCTGATTCTGTTAAAGAAGAACTTACCTGTAGATCTCAGAATTATGTATACAGGATTGCCGTAGCAAAGATAGCAGTTGTGGTAATTTAAATTAACTCTAGCAAACTGGCATTTGATTCTTCTGTTGAAGTAGTCCTGGGAGTGGATCACTGTCCGTGCTTGTTTGTCTATGCTGTGGCTCCATCTATGTGTGCAACTGCATTAATGCAGCCAGTCTCCTCCCCTGTGCTTTCCAGTGAAAGCTCTTGTAAGGTTCTCTGATGGTAAGCATACAGTTAAGATTTCAGGTGGTGTTAGTTTGTTTACCACTGCCTGTTAGGAAGATAACTTACTTGTTAATTAATGCCTTTCTCTTGTTCAAGGTGCTTGGGATGCTTTGGCCTTCTAACTGCACAGAGGCTTTCTTGAGAAACAACTATATTAACAAATACCATGACTTGTATAGAATTTAAGAGAGTACTGCTGACACAGCTTCATCTTAATGCTGACCCAGAGAAATCTGTGGGCTTTGCAGAGTTTTTGTGCCTTTTTCAGTATTGCAACTTTTTTTCTAGGCTTGCAACTATAGAAAAAGACAAAAACGGACATCTTTATAACAAGAAGAGTGATTTCAGGGTAGAATACAGCATACTAGAAGAACTGGAGCATAAAATGACTGTCAGTAGGAAATCTGAGAGTAAGTTTTTTTTGATTCTGTTTGGATTTTTTCTCTCTATGGTTGTTTGCTTACCTGGTTTATTAATGTGTAGTATAGAGAACAATCGATACCGCTAGGACATAAATTCTGATAAAAGTGTGGAATTTCTGACATTGCATATAAAGGTGATTTCCAGAATTCACTTGCAAAATTAAGACAGATAAATATCTTGGGCCTTCTGTGTTGCTAACTTTTTTTTTCTTTTTATCTTGAAAGGGGCAGATAACCACCTTTTCAAAAACTTTTGTAGAAAGTTACTATTTTGGAAACTTAGGAGCAGTATCATGTGTGTATCAAAATCTAATTTAGTGCAGCCAATGTACAATAAATATGTCCTTTTCACAAAACAAGTTTTTCCAGTGCTAATTGTTGAATGTAGACAAGTTTTTAAGCACTGCGGTTTTGTAGTTACATTTTCTCAAATGCTTGGAAAATAGGCATTCATAATCTAAATGGTACTTTAAGTGGTATGCGTAGTCTTCTATGATATCTGTTCCACATTAGGGCTAATTACATCCTTTAAGAGAAAAAAAAAAAAAGTGATTCCCAAGTCCCTTAATTTTTTCAAGAGCATTCAGATAAGTCATGTTATGCCTTCTGGTACAGAAACTGAAGACGTAATTTGAAGAATGGGAAAGTCCTGTAGAAACAACTAAAAATACATATAGCCTACAGATTTGTAGGTGTTAAAACATACATGTGTATGTATGCGTGTGTTTCTTTTTCAGTCCTTTTTTTTTTTTTTCAATTGAGTATACCTATCTTATCTCCTACATCTTACAAGCCTTATGATGTGTAAATGTTTCCAAAGGATGACCAAGCTAAGGAGTTCAGCAAACCTTCCAGACACTCCAGACAAAAGGAGGGAATATGGAAGTAGGGATAGACACTGTTATGAAGTGATAGGAAGGACAGAAAGAAGAGGTATAGGTCACTAGATGTAAGATGTGAGTGTTAGAGTAAGGTCTGTGAGGGTGTATACTAGAACCTCCAAACTTGCTATACCGATATGTTCAGGTCTCTGCATGTGATTTATGTACATGTTTAATATTTCTATGGTCTCAGCAGGGACTAGTAAGGTCAGGTTGTAGCTGCGCTCTGCTGTGTTTAGCTCTAGGCTTTCTATTGCTCCAGTCCTTTACGGAAAGGAAATAGTCTCCAGACTCCTCCATAACTTAGGTGTGTCCAGGACTTCATTACTTTTATGGACTCTTGAAGAGGCAAGTGGTGACAAACAAGTGCATGTATTCCTTGAGTTCTAGAAAACATGGATACTGCTTCAGTGAACACAACAAATCTGTAAATGTAGTTAAAACGGTAAATTCACATGTGCTTACCAAACGTTTTCTTTTTACTGTTGAATGTTTTGAAGCCTCATCAGAGTGAAAATTCTGTAGACATTGCCTTCTACAGAAACCGTACTGCTCTACAAACTCCAATTAACCTGGGCCAAAGGTTTGAAAAACTAAAATAACCTAGATATGACCTCTCGTTTTGTCCTCTTAAGAATGAGCTATTACAGTAATTGGTAACTCAGTTTGGATGAAATCCCCCATCTATTTGGGGCACTTGATTGCTTTTGTTCTTTTATTGAACTTAATGCACAAAGGAATGTTTAGAACTATCAGCTGGCATCCTATTTTCTTTAACAGAAACTAAAATCCTACAGAAGTTATCAACAATACATAATAATGTGAAGAGACTTCAGCGACAATTAAAAGATGTGAAGCCTACACCAGAATGTAAGTCTTGCTGGCAGACTCTTGCTGGCACTTTTCATTTAAAGACAATTTTCTGGGGTAACTGTGCTTTTGTTTCTCCTGCACATTCAGGATTCTGTTTCTCCACTCCGCCTCCTTTTCTAGGAATGTGGGAAGGGGCACATGAGAAGGGAGGAGTGTAAGAAATAATGAAGGCTCTTTTCCTTTGCTCTGGAAGTAGAGCAGCTTATTCTGTCTTGGAGCTGCTATGGATTTGTTTCTTCAGGCTGTTGAGAGTCAAGTATTTTCTAAATGCCAGTATTTCTCCTATAGAAGCTAAAGCTAGTATTTTAATACAGCATAGATGTAGCTCCCTTGTCATCTGATAAGAGGTCATAAAGTGGGGTCTAGAAGGAATTTTGCATTTAGATGATTTGAAGTGCAGATTGAAATATTCTGTGGAAAATCCTTAAACAGCTTGTTCAGTTAGATATCTTTAAACTCTTGGGAAGAGGGCATTGAAGGAAACATTCTCTACAGTGCTCCACTGTGTATGGAGCTCATGCTGAAGTTCTACCAGCTGTCAGCTTTACAGCTGGCATACAACTCATCTAATTTCATATTTATTGTTATTTGCAATAGATATGAAAGGCTGGGTGTTTTTTTTTTTTTTTTTTTTTTTTTTTTTTTTTTTGCTTTTGTTTCAAAGCCAAGTTAGTTAAATCGTTCTTCCTTAAACCGTTTAGATTCTAAAGCAGTTTTATACAGTTGCAAAAAAGGCCTTCTCTAGGCAGTTGTTTTACTGGACTTTATGAAACTGGAACTGAAGAAAGCTGACAGGACCATATACCGAATATAACTTTGATGTTTCGTTCAATTTCACTAGGGAACTGTAGGTTAAATTATTTGGGTACAAGTTGGTGTAAGCCAAAGAACTGAATGGGCCTTGTAAGTCACTGTTTTTTAGTCATTTGTTCTTAAGCCTCTGTAAGTCACTGTTCTTAAGTCATTTGTTGCATAAAAACAAATGTGATAACCCTTGAAAGTTTACCCGGAATGAGTGACTTGTTTAATTGAAATAAATGTTTATAAGGGAGGGAGTGGGAATTTGCATATCAGGTAGTTAAATCAGTGTAACTTCCACCTTCTGAATAGAAGAGAGTCTTCCTTTAAAAAATCCGTTTATGATGGAATGGTAGGCTTTTATTTTTTTTTCCTTTTTTGGGTACCTGCTTCCCAGAATTGTGTCTGTTTCTGGATAGTACTGAAATGCTTGTAGAGATGTTAAACTTAAGTATTCTGCTCTTTTTTTCCTTCTTTTTTTCTTCTTTTTTAGTTGTTGAGAAGCTCAGGGAAATGATGGAAGAAGTTGAAAATGCAATCAATGCTTTTAAAGAGGAACAGAGACAAATGTATGTTTATATATGCTTCAGCTGAGAAAGTGTTTTAATTTTACTTAAAGTGGTTAAACAATAAAAACTTTGCATTAATGTTGCATCATGTAAACTTTGCTCTTTTTTCTCTTTTGCTAGTGGTTCCTTTGGTAACATAAATGGAAAGTTAATCAAAATTAGAATCTTGATAAAGAAGCTTTGTGAGAGGTTGTTTTCATAGCTGCTACAATGATTCAATCTAACAATCATTTGTCTATGAAAAGGCTGTTGGAATGATCCTTTTGGGAAGGGATGTTTGTTTTTCTCTTCCACCCCCTACTGTGAGGAGGGGATTGGGTTATTTGGTTGTTTGCTCTAAATGTGCATTTCCATTAAAAAGGTAACATAATTCTAATTGTGTAGGGCTTTACTACAGGATCATTGCAACTACTGCTGTCATCTGTTATGCCATTTTGGTCCATAATCTTCTAAGAATAGGCTTTGTGTGGAATTGAACAATTCCAAAATTTATTTTCAATGAACAATGAATGCTGTAATTCTTTTGTTATATTCCAGTGTTTGTTCTCTTTTTAGGTATGAACAGCTTTTGAAGGAGGAAAAAACTGCCATTAATGAACTCAGTATCTTTGAGAAGAAGGTGGAACTGTGGGTGTTAGGTAACTCAACAACCGAAAAGGTTTTGAGATTACCATCAGCTAAAGTCTCAGTTGATAAAACACTGCAAAATCATCTTCCTGAAGAAGTAGTAGAGTTTGAAAGATTCCTTCACCGAACAGGAGGACGGCAAGGAGGCTGGGATGATTATGATCATCAACTTTTTCTGAAAGTATGGACAAAACACAAAGGAGGGGCATCCTACATGGATGAAGCCCTTGAATGTCTCTCTGGAAGGACAAAGGAAGATGTTGAGCAGCATGATAAATGGTATCAAGAATTTCTAGTTTTACAAGAAAGAAAAAAGGAGGTAAGATAACCTTCAAGGGCTTTTGTAACTTTAAGTACATATTTAAAAACAGAGGGACTTCTTATTTTTGTATTTTCCTTTCCGGTGTTAGTGCTACATGGATTTCTCTAATAGCTGATGATACGACTGAAGTCTTTAGCTCCTTAACTTGCCAGTAAGTATCTCATTACAGACAGATCAATAAATGCAGGTTTAGCAACATGCTGAAGTGGCCTGTGTATTCCTGGAGTATACTAGGAATGTTTGTGATGGCAGTTCTCCAACAAGTTATGTGCCAACTTTACAGCAGTTAAGTAGTCCCACTTCATGCTGCAGTGCTTACGTATTCTTTCTCCAAACTATGGATGTCCCGCTATATGTGTAAGCAGCATACCTGTCCCATAATGGCTTAGAGAATTGATTCTTTGTATAACTAGGAACTCTTGAGAGAGCTCTAAGCTCCTGCATAATAACAGATATGCTGATGTAAACACTGAATTGTGAAGAACATAATACATGAAATCGTTAACTTGAAGAAAAAAGCTGGGAATATGTTTATATGGAGAAAAGCATTTTACACCAAAATGCACAGCTGTTCTAAGGTGATGAAAATGCCATAACTTAAATAATGTTAGATAGTAAAGGTTAAACCTACCCTGTAGAAAACAAAAAAAAAAAAGGAAAAGATGCTTTTTTGCCTTAAGGAGTTGCCTAACCAGATGCTGAATTCCCATTGTCAGCTCATATTCTTGCAGCATACATTTTCACCTGCTATCTGTGAAGACTTTTATGGGGACTTTTTTTTTTTCCTCTCTGGTGTTTTCACACAGTCAATAAAGAAGTGGAAAGAAAAGCAGCATCAAGAAAAAGAAAAAGCAGAAGAAGAAAGGAAAAGACAACAAGCAGCAATTAAAGCATGGAAAAAAGAGAAAGCAGTAGCTTTTGCAATGGAACAAGCATCACAACTAAAACTACAAGAAGAGAAGGAGAAAAAGCAGCAGAGAGAACAGCAGCGCCAATGCCATGTTAAGTTACTGTTAGAAAAGTATACCTTCTTAAAGAAAGAAAAGGAGGAACTGGAAAAGCGTGAGAAGGAGAGAAGGGAGGAAGCTGAAAGACAGGAAAGGAAGAAAATTGCTGCAGAAGAAATTCCTAAGTTTCAAGAGCGGGTGAGTAACTGCTTTCCATTCATGTACTTGTGCTTAAATTTAACTACTTCCTCTTATAATCTGATAACAGCAGTTTCAAAATCCATTTTTACTGGTTTTAATTACTTGTTTAGTTGAGGAATAACCTAGGTTTACTTATTTAAATCTGTTTTACATCACTACGAATAATTTTGTCTATGTCCCAGAAAAAGTGTAAAAGTTTATTTCAGGTGAAGATGTGACTTTCACTCAATGTCTTAAGTTCTGCAAGCTTATTGAAACCCATATTTCGTTCTAAATATATAGATGGTTTTGTCTGCTTGAGTGTGAACACAGTTTGGGAAAAACACTTGCAGGATGTGCCATTAAAAGGTACAAATTACACTCCAGGCTAAAGAAAACATTGACAGACCTGACTGCCGTTTGCAGATGTGTCATAAAAAGAATAGACTAAAGGTGTTGCATGTTCTTGTGGTTGTTAAGTTCAAGTTAGATCCTAGCTCACTGTAAATATCACTAGTTTCATTATGGTAAAACCTATTATTTTCAGCATTTCTGTTATCTTTCATTTTTACATAGGGAAATTCCAGTATTTAGTAGAATGCTTTCTAATGTCACTTAGTTATATGCACTTTCACAAAAGAATTGCAAAACAAAGAGTAAATTCTAATTTTGTGAAATGCCTGCATACATATTTTGATACAATTTGTTTTTCTTTTCAAAAAAAGTTTGCAATTCATCATACTATATTTTCAGGATCTGCGCAAACTTGAATTAAAGATTCATGAAAAGCAAGCCAAAGAAGAGGAAAAACGGGAAAAAGAAAAGAGATTGGCAAAGTTAAAAGAGAAGGTAGCACTCCAGTAACATAACTTTTTTTCCCTGTTACTGACTACTTAGTAGCCAAGTAAAAGTAACTGGCTTTGAGCAAAGCAAAAAAATAAAACAAAAAAGTTTAAAACTATTGAGCAGCGTACATCTCAGACTTGGAGAATTTCCCTGTCTCTGAGCAATAATTATTAAAGGTAAGCTGCAATTGATATTCCAAAGAAGGCTTGCAAACTTTGGTGGGTTAAGTAGGCTAGTGCCCAGAAATGTTTCAGGGATGTTCTCTCAGAGTTGAAAGTATTATTTTACTAGAATAACATTATAATCCATTGAATAAAAGCTTCTAGTATTCCCTCTGCCAGTGTGGAAGTCTCCTTCTCATTGTAGGAACTGATGTTAGATTTCGTCTTTTTGTTCTGTATCTCTCTGCATGATAAAGATGCAGTTAGTTCAGATGATTTGTTCTGTGGTTGAAGAATGGATTTTTTTTTCCTGTTTGTTTCACTGCAAGGTTGGAATCCATGCAGCCAGAGATCCCTCCAGGCTCTACAGACCCACCAAGGGCTGGGAGGAGCGCACAAAAGACATTGGGCCAACCGGTTCAGAACCTCTTCTCCGTATTCCTCACAGGTAAGGAGTAAAGCAACAAATGCGCATCGTTTTGTTTGTTTTTAATTTTTATAAGGTGTTTATTTGTGTTTGCAGAGCTGTCCCAACCTGGAGACAAGGCTTGTAGATGAGCGCTGCGTATTCACTCTGCAGGACGTGTGTTTCCCTCGCAAGGACGCGCCCCGCCGCCCTGAGGACCCTGCCGCCGCCGTGTTGGTGTTGCCGAGCGCGAGGGACCTCCCCGCTCGCGCCTTCCC